ATGATTTATTCTCCTGAAGATGGTAGAATTATTTCCATTGAAACATGTAGAGTTTTTAAAGTTTCTTTTAACTTATATTTTTTAAACTTTACAAATAAATTATTATGTAAGTAAAAAACAAAATGTTGATGTCTCGTTTTATTAATTTTTTTAAAACTTCTGAGTATTTTCAACATGGACTTTCAGTAATATTTTCATCTTGAAAGCAGAATCCAATGTTCAGTCGAAACATGTAGTATGTTCCACCATCAATTAAACTTTTCCCTTTGTTTGCCCACCTATTATTATATTAGCATAATGTGCTTCCTTATTAAAGTTTCACTCACAATAAACTTCTCTTCTAAGCCTCTCAACTTTTTCAATTGAGAATGTTTTCCAGGTTTTGAACTTGCTAAAAATTTAGGAAGATTTTTAGTAAACTTCTACAGAAACTTTAAGATTACACACTAACTTTTAACTCTGGTTAAATTTTCTTGTTGTATTTTATTTCCAGGTGCTGTTTATACTTTATTGTAATATTAGAACCAACAAAATTCACAGCACGATCATACTCAAACACTTGGGCCTTAGTACTAGATTTACTGATTGTCAATTCTTTTACATCCTATATATGAATAATTAAGTGCATATAATTTTATAACAGATAAGCTTATCTTAGAAAAGTCAATGACTAAAGAAATCAGAAAACTTGATATCTTAATTCACGAACTAGAGTTTTTGTATTACACCATCTACAGTTAAATATTACTGATAGGTCTTAATTTACTGAAGTAATGGTGGTGATGATATTGAAGCAATGTTCATGAGGCTGATAGAAAATAAATTAACGTACACGTTCAATCATACAAAATGGCATATTTGTCTAATCTACAACAAAAAGTGCTTTTTCATGACAGCATTTTTGAAGGCTGTTGTGAGTAATAAATTGTGTATAGTTTGTTCTTTGTAGTTTAGGTTTCATATTTGAAGGTGCTATGTTAATCCGTGCTGGACGTGCGCATTCTATAATCAGGTGTATGTATGTTGTATACTTTAACCCTTTTTTCTTAAGTAAAAAAGAAAGAAAACTCTAATAGGATCGACGTGATTCGTTCATTATGCGACCCAATTATTTTTTGTTTTACTTACAGACAGACATTTTAGAAACATCACCTTCATCGAAGGAGGTCTGTTTATTTTATTCTGGGTCGTTTATGTTACTGCTGGTTAATTCTTTTACAAACACATACAAAAATCGTCTTCATAAGTAGTGAAAATTGCAGAAATAAATACTAAATATGCAAAAAAAGCAGTTAAGAATTGACATATATTTATCACCTAGTGACAAAATAATGTATTAGAACCATGTTTTTTTTTGTTGGGACTACACTAGTCCCCCTTCACCTGTGAATCTTGTTCCTGCTGCCCCTTGGTAAAAATTTTCACAGCTGGTTGAAGAGGTGGAGGCCAAGTTGGATGGGGACTAAGAACTGCTGCTATAAGAACTGAATAAAGTTCTAGCCGACAAGAACGGTCTGAGTAGGGAACTGGTAGGTTGTTGGGATTCTGTTGCACTTGATGTAGTAGGTGAATTACCTTATGATGGATATCCTAAAAATTACAAAATCAAAAAAGAAGTAATTTATACATAAAAATAGAGAAAAAAAAAGCAATGATAATCTCATAATAAATAGGAATTCTTATATTCATAAGCCGTAAAATTAGTCTTACACAATCAGTGTCACTAGCTTAATGGCTTCACCCAACAACTTTAAGTCGTAAGTCCACAAATTCCATAAAAGCACACACAAACACTAAGTAAAATAAAATATGCATCATCATCATTTGTTTTCACTAGCAGCCACTAGGTGGTGTAAAAATGATTAAAAATGACAAACTGCAATCAGTGATGGGTCACGTGTCAAAGGCCATGTCATCACGTTTGTTGACTTGCATTAAAAATTTTATTGAACTACTATTTTATGAACTTGTGTCAATATGTTTGTATCAAATTGTAGATTATAATTCAAATTTTAGTATTGTATGTTACTTAACTTCTTAATTTAAAAGTAAATATGAAAAAACACAGTTAAATATAGTTTTTTTGTGTGTTACGTGGTACGTTGAATGCAGCACTGGTTCAAATTAGATGTTTGTGAAGTCAAAATACTAAGTCTATAGTTTCATAAGAATTAGAAACTCAAGCTACCATATTAACAAGCTAGAATATAAAATAAGAACCTCCTAGCTTTTCTATTTTCTAAGATATTGCTGATGTTATGAATCAAACACAGTGGCCCTCCTCTTTCCATTTTTAGAAATGCTCCCTTATATACACTTACTTCTACATATATGACAAGAATAACCAATCAAAAGCTCAGAATGTCCCCTTAGTGGTTTTCTCAGCCATTTTGATGTGTTATAATCTCATTCTTTTCACACATTATTTCAAATGATAAGGTAAGTCTTTAGTGAACTCGAAATTTCATATTTTTTAAGACCCAATTACAGCTTAGTCACTATGCTTGATAAGTTATAGTGAAATTCTATTGTATTGATATAGTAATTTATGATTTTTTGGTAGTTATTTAAAAAAAAAAATATGTATATATATATATATATATATATAACCTAAAAAATTTTTCTATTCACATCCTCCACGAGGTAAATTTCGTAAGGCTTAGCAACCTACAACAAGCAGCAAAGAATACAAAGGTCATAACTAGAAGAGATAATTGTTTGCATTACTTCTTTATTTACTGTTCTATGGTTTAAGAAAAATAAGTTTAAGAACTTATTTCTAGATAGTATTAATGTATATACATATATAATGTATAATAAATGTTTTCGTGTTATAATTTGTAGTCATTCTAGCATAATTTAAATTTATTTACCAATTTTTTATGGTGGGTGGGAGAGCAATGAAAGTGTTCCAAAATACATCTTTTGCCAATTCAATGTGCAAAGCATCACTTTTTTCAAATAGTTTTTAAAAATACAATAATGAATTATTAAAAATTATAATAGATAATGCCACAAAAAATCCTACCTTGTGGATATCTGGTTTAAGAAGACACCCCACTGCATATAGGAGGGTCTTCAATGCTGAAAAAAAAGAAGATTTACTCAGTTTAAAATCATAATGTAAAACAGTATGAAGAGAATTATGTCACATGATTGAAAGGATATTATTGTTTACTGTTTTTGATTCAGTGGCTCAGCAGTATGTTTGAGAGCTTATACACTAAACATCAAGTTTCGATATCCTTGGTGGTCAAAGCACAGATAACTTATTGGGCCGCATTACTCTTAAAAACACACACAAAAAGTTTTGATTCCTCAAGAAGTAGCCATATAAACAGGAAACTGACTGGCTTATTTATCCAAGATGTTTCATGTCTAATATTA